GCTACTATAACAGATGCATCACTCCTGGGCTGGGGAGCCCACTGTGGTGCAGAATCAATACAGGGCACATGGGCCCAACACCAGACACACTTTCACATAAATATCCTAGAGCTCAGGGCCATTCGCAGGGCTTGTGCCCATTTCCTTCCCCTGATAAAGGGCAGAACTATTCGTGTCCTCATAGACAACACACCCTCCATGTTTTATGTCAACCGGCAGGGGGGTGCCCGATCACACTCTCTATGTGCCGAGGCAGTCAAATTCTGGAACTGGTGCATCAGACACCATATAATCCCAATGGCCATGTTCATACCAGGTCAACAGAATTTGAGCGCTGATAAGCTGAGCAGACATTTCCAGATCAGCGCACGTGGCACATTTCCAGATCAGTACAGTACCAATGTCCTCTTTTCAATCTTCTGCAAATGGGGCTTTCCAACTATAGACCTCTTTGCAACACCTCACAACAGCAAATGCCACAGGTTCTGCTCTCAGGCATGACTAGGCAAGAGGTCAGAAGGGTCACTTTCACCATCTGCTGGAAAGCTCCTCTACTTTATGCCTTTCCACCACTCCCACTTATTGCCAGAATGATCAACAGGATTCGATCTGATCGGGCCACAGTAATCTTAATAGCCCCAGCTTGGCTGAAACACTCATGGTCGATAGATCAACACTGCCTGTCGATAGATCAACCTATCCTTCTCTCAGCAGTGCTGAATCTCCTCACACAACACCATGGCAGTATATATCACCTCAGTGTCAAAACCATGAAACTCACAGCGTGGTTTCTTCATGGTTCCAGAATGAAGAACTTACCTGCTCAGACAGGGTCAAACAAACTCTTTTTAACAGTCGGCATCCTTCTATGAGAAACACCAATCAGAACAAATGGATGCATTTTTTTCGCCAATGGTACACGAGGCACAGTTTGCACCCCACCATAGTCCCCATACCTTGATACAACTAGAGCAACCAGAAAATCAGACAGGCTCTTCATCACGTGGTCCAGTCCATGCACGGGAACAGCAGTTTAAGCACAGCGCCTATCCAAGTAGATTGCAGGCTGTATACGTACTGTCTATGAATTTAGGGGCAGACAACCACCGCAGCAGCCCATTAGGGCTCATTCCACACATTCGATGGCCACTAAAACGGACTTCCTGAACAACGTACCATTGGCAGACATCTGTAGAGCAGCTACGTGGTCCTCACACTATACTTTCGCACAGCGCTATCCTGTATGCAAGGGGCCTATTTCCTCCACATCTCTAGCAGATGCAATCCTTCCTCCTTCCACTTAGAGACTCCAATGCCCACCTCCATTGGGCAGGTACAGCTATGGAGTCACCTGATTGGAGCTCCCACAGGGACACCACTCGATGAAGAAGTTACTCACCCTGTGCAGTAATGGTAGTTCTTTGAGATTTGTGTCCTTGTGGGTGCTCCACTACCCTCTCGCTCTCCTCTCTGCTTGGAGTCTACAGGAACTTCAGGTAGAAAAGGAACAGACGGGACTCGCGCCGTGTGCTCCATGGCCTGTGGAGGAGGAGGTGCTGAGTGCACAGGTGCGGCGCAAGGGGCACTGCTACCAAAAACCTCCGGTCCCTGGCGCAGGGATGCACTGAAACCTGAGTGAAGCACCCACGGGGACACAGATCTCGAAGAACCACCGTTACTACATGGATGAGTAACTTCTTTTGTAGATGTAAAAAAACACACCCCCAAACAATGTAGCTGTGCTGATAGAATCAGAGTATAGACACATCTGTGTTGACAGAAGAAAGCTTAATTCAGGGAAGTGGTATTCTACACCGAAAAATGCCTTCTATCAGTGTAGTCTCTGGAATGCAGGCTTATTACCCTTAGAATGCTTCCTGTGGTACACCCACAGAAAAGTTTTAAACCTGGTTTTCAATTTGTCTCTTCTGTACCCAATGGTTAACAACCTAGATGACAATTTGATAAGAGTTGTGGGGAGAAAATCGATGTAGAATTACAGAGCAAGTGAAACACATGCTGGCTGATATTTGACACTTAATGCTTTTTCTGAATATATTGGCTTTTATTTATGCAATTTATTTAATTTAATCTACTATATATTTGAGAGAGTCTGTTTGTTCGAGAACTCCTCCTAAACTGTAAGAGAGCTAGGACCCCTGAATTCAGTATACAGATGAAGAATGTTAAATATCAGTTAATTGAATAGTTGATTAAATTCTTATTGGTTACTCAACCATTCTATAGTCCCTGGGGTGAGGCTGGCAGCCAGTGCATGCTGGCCCCATTCCGGAGGAGCCCCCTTCCATTCTGCACTGCTGACCCTCTCTGAGGCAGCAGCATGGGGTGCTAGGTGGGAGCTGGCCCATAAAGGGAGACAGTTTAAAAACCAGCTCCCCTAGCAGATCAGCTGTCTGTCACCCCATGCTGTTGCTTCTGATATGTATGTAGTCTGTAGCGTTAACCGATTAGCTTTTGCTTATCAGTTAATAGACTATACTATTACATCCCTAATACAGATTCCTCTTATCATTACTTAAAGCAGTGTAAGGGTTTGATTGTGTCAGGAAAATGGGATGTGTCATACAGAAAAGAGACAGAATTACTAGGCAAAGGTGAAAGGGGCTGGCTGAGAGCACGCCCCCCACTTCCCTCTCCACCCTCTCTCCCTCCTCCGTCATCTGGAACTGCTTCAGCCCCAAGCCTCCTATTCCCCAGCCTCCCTTTAGGGAGTGGGGAAGGAGGACTGATGTTTTCCTTTCTCCCTCAATTCATCTGGGTACCTGGCTGGCTGTTCCCCTTCATCATGGACTGAAGGGAAAGTGTGCAGTTTGCTGCATTCCTCACTTTGGCTGGGAAGCTCGGGGAGCAGACAAACTTGGATCTGCCCCAGCTGGGGGACATGCACCTCTTCCCTGGAGCAGCAGGCCATATCCCATGGACAGGTGCTTCTTACCTGGCTTCACACTGCTGTGGGGAGAGAGGACTGGGATAGTCTTCTTTTCCTGGGGCAGCCTGCATACTGAATCCCTCATCCCCACCTCCACCCCAGAGCAATGATTTCAATGAAACATGTACATTTTCATTTTATTTTCCAGAAAAACAAAAATTAATCGAGTTAAGGACTCAAACAACACCGGGTAAATCTTCTAATTAAACACTAAAGAGAATTAAATGTTTTAGCTGGTAGATTCTAAAACCAATCTCTTAGCTCTAATTGGCTGGAAACAATCAGCCAATGGTAGCTGAGAGATTGGGCTGGGAGACTGGGGGGTAGTGCAAGCCTCTCCCCGCTCCTGGAGTTGAGAGCCACATGGAGGGAGCAGCCTGCAGTTTTAAGTGATGTGGGGCTGCAGCAGGCAGGGAGCCCAGCCTGCTTTGGGGGTGCTGCAGGGCTGCTGGCCAGGAGATGCTTAGGCAAGTGTCTCCTAACCAGATCCTGCTGCTGGCACCCCTCCCACGCCCCAACTCCCTCCCCAGTTCGCCATCCAAACCCTCTGCATTCCCCTGCCGTAGGTCACATCTCCCTCCCAGTCCCTGCTCCCCCTCTTTACACCATTCCTCTAGGCTAGAATCCTCTCCTGCACCAACATTGCTTCCCAGATCCTACATCCCCATCCCTGCTCCAGGTCAAAACCCCCTCCTTCACCCAAACTCACTCTCTCACACTGTCTCCTGCATCCCAGTCCCTTACCCCATGCGCCCTTCTGCACACAACCTCCATCCTAGACCCTGCACCCCCTCCACAGAAAAGTGTGGTCCTTGACCGCTTTCTAAAATCTTGGAGTGGCCTCCCACCAAAAATTATTACCTACCCCTGGTTTAAAAGTTAGTGATCCTCTCTCTATAATATGAGGGGAAATGTTTATAAGAAGCATCCAGCTTTCATTATAAACCACCACATTTTGACACTTTGGCATAAGGTTTGTTCTTTGGTCCCACTTCTGGAACATCTAAAATCCAACTTAGGCATACTGACAAAAGCACCAATATTGGTAGGTCAAGCTTGAATCCTGTAACAAGCTTACTAGGTCATACTTTTAGGGAGTGATAATTACAAAGAAAATTAACAATCCACTTGGCAACCTGAAAGATCAGAAGGCAAGAAGTGTACCTCTACAAGAGTAAATAATGTAGGTTAGATGGAAATAGTTTTACATTTTAACTGATCATTCTGAATCAACTGCCAGAATTCTGGCTTTAAATAGTTAGGTCATTTGTGATATTTTGTGAAATTAGATTTTAATGGTTATCACTGCGTAATATCATCTTGTCCTCCACTCTGTCTATCCCTCTCTTCTCTTGCATGTGACAGGATCATCTATGGGGCTCTTTATACAGCAAGCTCTTTTGTTTATATATAAATATTAATCGGATTTAGCTCATGTTTTTTGCTTTTAAAATCTTGTACACTGGTGTGCTGAAGATTTAGCTTTTCTGTAGCTTGCTTTATAAATTTCAGAAATATAACGCAGCTTCCTTTTTGTCAGGCATGATGGGCTATTTGTTCTGAGACACACAAGAGCTACTAATGCTAATTGCATCCTTCACAAATCATCAAACTTCGAAGATATTACCTCACAAAAAGGGTAGAAAAATCGTCTCAGGATGTGTGTGTTTTGGGTGGATTTGTTTTTATCAACCAATTCTATTGTCTATGGATCATTTTATAGGAAAAATATGAATGAATACCATACTACTTTTTTTTTCATTTAACCCTTTGTACACTGCAGAGATCGTGGGCTCTGTGCAGCCTCAGTTATGTTCTGCAGTTGCTAGGTACTAATGATTTCTGTGTCCTTAGCATGTGTTTAACTGACACTCTGGAATATTCCACTGTGTGGAGGATTAATTGAGCTGTAAATGAGAGGGAACACAGACCATTTTAATAGTTTTGTTCTGCTCTCTCATATCTTTGAAGGAAAAGTGGTTGCTTTTGTTTTACATGTAGAGTGACGCTAATAAGTTTAGTGACATTGCTCTATTCTTTCTTTTGGTAGGATTTTTCCAATTAAAGATGTACCTGCAGAGCCTGAAGCCCTCACTGATTGGCTATATCAGCGGTTCATTGAAAAAGAGGATCTCTTGTCACATTTTTACAAAACAGGTAGAATGTTGTTTCCCATAAGAGAATACTTAATTTGCATGTCTATAATAGCTTTCATGCAAGGATCTCAGAATATTTTTAAGAAATATTAATTACTATTCACAACACCCTCATGAAAT